TTATGATGTGTGCGGGATAAAAGGGTGTTCGCAAAAATTTTTAGGTAATGGTTAAAAGGTGTTGTGGGGAGGGTGGTCAAAATCTCAGTTTGGGTTGCCGGGAAGGTCGATGATGAAGGACATGGGATACTGAGAAGTTTTGTGGAAGCTAAGGGTGGGGGTGAAGGGGCGGCTTTGTTGGCTCTAGATTGGCAGGGAGCATATGATAGAGTGGAAAGGGGAGCATTGCAGGTTATACTTAGGAGACAGGGTTTTGGGAGGAAATAGTCGAGTGGGTAAATACGTTATACAAGGGGGCGAAAAATGAGGATAACAGATTAATGGGTGTATGGGGAGGGATATTGCAATGGGTAGAGGCCTTAGACAGGATGCCCCATGTCACAAATATTGTTTGCATGTTTCCAGGACCCTTTTATAAAATGGTTGACCGCAGCTTATGTACGCCAGGTGAGGGAAGTGTGGGGGTGGGAGGGCCTGGCCGGGTTTAATTGGATATGTTGACGACACCACATGTTCTCATTCGTGAAGGGATGTCAATGGGAGTGTTGGACGAGGTTGTGCAATTATTTGGAAGTGCCACGGGTATGCAGGTAAATAGTGCGAAGTCAAGGTGCATGGGGTTGGGTTCTTGGGTGGGGGGTGTGGGGGGTAGATGTAATGTTGTTAAAGAATGGGCAATGTCTTTAAAGATTTGTGGTATTATTTATAAGGATGACATGGTTGCGGCGCGGGTGGAAAACTCGGATAGGTTATTGGACAGGATCGCGGGGCGTCTAGGTGTTCTGAGACCCCAGCACCTAACTCTTATACAGCGAGTGATAGTCGTAAACATTTTATTGTATAGTAAGATTTGGCATGTTGCAGCTGTGTTCCCAATTACAGGGACAGCGATTGCGGGAATTCTAAGACGGGTGTACAAATTTTTGTGGGGTTCACGTTGTGATTGGTTACGGAGGGAAGTTGTAATGTTACCTGTAAGTCAGGGTGGGTTGGGGTTGATGGATTTAAGACGGAGGGCTAAATGTGTGTTTATTAAATGGGAAGTGTTGCGTGAGGGTGTGAACGCGGGGCAGTTGGGAAGGATACACGACAGGCTGGGTGTGTGGTATCGAGGAATGGAGTTGAGGGAATGCGAAATCGTTTTGAGGGCTGTGATGTTGGTTAGGGAACTGAGAAAGGTTCGTATAAGGGTTTTGTGTAGGTTTACTTGTAGGTAGGTGCGTTTATCCCAGTTGAGGGTTTGTTCCCCATGTATGCGTGGAAGAGTATTTGGTTTAGATTTAGTAAAATGAAGTTAAACCCTCGGGCGCGTGAGGTGATGTTTCGTTTCCTGCACGGGATCCTTCCGTCTGGTGAGATACTACGAAACAGACAGGTTGTAGAGGGTGGGGGGTGTGGTATCTGTGGAGGGGATGAGACCGCGTTCCATGTAGTTTACTTCTGTGAAGGGCTAGAGGAGGTTAGGTGCTGGTTAAGTAGGTTGGTACAGAGGGTGGGGGGTCGTGGGGTGTCGGTTCTGCGTGCTTTAAGTCTAGATATGGGTGGGTTAGACGAGGGTGTCATAAGAGCTTTAGATTATATCATGGTAGATTACATAAATATGTCGTGGGTGATGAGGGGGAGAGGGGATAGTGAGGAGAGAAGGAAAGTTCTTGCGGTAACGTTCTATCGTACGATGTGTCGTAACAGAGATTTGTATGGGAGGAGGTGGGATCAGGCTTTCTCAGAGGGGTATAGAATGCTAACGTTAGGGATTCTCGTAAATCTGTGATTGATAATGAGTGAGTGAAGGGGTTTTCATAGGTTGGAGGGAGTCAGGGGGCAACAGCGGGCTCGCCTCCCTGGGGGGGGGGGGTCGTGAGAGTGTTGTGAATGTGGGTTTGGAATGGTTTTCTGGTTTTCATTGAGACTTTATGGCAGCCAAGTGTGGATGTAGAGCTCAAGGTCTCATTATGTTAGTTACAACGCTTTTCAGAATGTAGGTATAATATAGTAGGTTTTTTTTGTATGTATAATTTTGATGTGTGTCAGTCTTGTATGACACGATTCTTGAGGAATTAGTTCTTTGCGGTCAGGAAGTGTGTTTTAGTTTGTCTTTGTTATGTGCTGAAATTTTGCACGATGAGAAATATACTTAGATACTGGCTTTGCTTTGTGCATACAGTGCATCTGATTAATGTGATGTTGTGAAACTTTTTTTTTTTTTTTTTTTTTTTTTTTTGTGTGTGTGTGTTGTTGTGTGGTGTGTGTGTGTTGTGTGTGTGTGTGTGTGTGTGTTTTGTGTGGTGTGTGTGGGGTGTGTGTGTTGTGTGTGTGTGTGTGTATGTGTTGTGAGTGTGTGTTAAATATATTTCCCTTCTAATGTATTGACCCTTTTTGTCATGGGTCAGACGTTATGTAATCTTTATATATGTATGATTTGATTTCTTTTTAAAGTTTATAATTCTGGCTGTCCCCTGATACCGGTTTGGTATCAATGCTAAGTTCTTGATGTTAAGTTTTAGTCTGTATGGTATCCCAGACATATTAGACATTTTTTGTTTTTTCGTATGTTGGTATATGTAAAGCTGTATTGTTAGGGTTTACGTATGTAAAATTTTTCTAGTAAGATTATGATGTTAGGTTTTGGTTTCTTGTTTTAATGGGGAAGGATGGGGTTTTAACTGATATAACTTCTTTGTATATTTTATGTTCAAGTGTATTTGCGTTTTTGTCAGATGTCATGTTATATGTACAATTTATATATATGCAAAGGTTTTTTGCATCAATGAATGTGTATAACATGTCAATTCATGACCCTGTACAGTTTTTTTTTTTTTTTTTTTTTTTTTAGCTATGTTCTTGCCCGTAAGTGATTATTGTAGTTTTTGCAGCAATATCTTGCGGGGCATATTAGGTGAAATCTGTTTGTCGTTTATTTTGATTGAGATCCATACTGTTTCTTTATTTTTTTATGTTAAACTGTTTTTGGTTTTTAAAAATAAAATATAAAAAAAAAAATAGGGTATCTAACTATTAAAGATCTCGAAACAATAGTTAAATTGAAGATGTTTAGATTTTTTTTTTATATTTTATTTAAAACCAACAAATATACAATAGACAAAAGGGAAAAACCATAAAGATGACAATATATGAACAATAACTGAAAAAAAACGTTACATTAGATATTGAAAAAATTAAAGAATAACATAACAATATAACAAATATGACCACTATAACCTACATATAAAATCAGATAACCGAAGCTTAAAAACTGTCCTGTACTAGATACATGTGGATAAGTTAAACTTTCGTAAAAACATGCAAAAACCTATATTAACTCTTCCTCAAATTAATCATCCTTGCTCTTAATTTACACTAGAATAATAAAATACAAGTAAACTTTCATTATTTCGTTACAGGACTAAATGCCTTCTGCTCTGAACACGGAAAGAAATAAGGATAATTGAACTAATGATGTCAAGAACACATCCAAGCGAAACCTACACCGACCATAACAGGTCTATGAGAACTTTTTTTTTTATTTTATTTAAAGCAGTTCATACAATATACATAGATAGTTACGTATATAAATGTGATATAAATATATATAAAAGAGGGGATTATCATGGGGGTGTTCCGTCCACTAAGTAACACTATTCATAATGATTCTATATACACATAACTACATAAATAAAAACACTACTGCAAAATATACAGTGCTTCCTTACTGTTTTTTTCATAATGTAAAATGACACAAAGCACTTACAATACTAGTGACTCACCCCCCCCCCCCCCAACATTTAACTTATTGTTATTATTATACTCAAAAAGTTGCGCTAACCACAATGGTGAACATGTACTTAACTGTTTTATATACTCCTACATTCTCATTTTTAGTTAAAAAACATTGCAATGAATTAAAATAAAGAAGCCTTAGCAGTCCTCCACAGAAATAATGAAATTACGTATTTGAATCATTTAAAAGTTTATCTATGACTTCAAAAATTTATAGCCTCCAACATCTTAAACTATTCAAAGAACTTTTAAAATACGAAAATAATTACTTTATGAAAATATTGAATAATAACACTACTTTACTATATGAACAATTCAAACATATGATAACGTACACTGGATATTGAAATACCCCTTTGTTTACATATACCAAGAATGTATATTATTAAACACGTATTTCTTGTTCAACAAATTTAGATGTTATTGACATGTTTCAGAGCATTTTAAAACTTGCTCTTTCACACACTATGGTTAAATACAACTTATAGCCCCTAAAATTGATAAGCCCCTCTCGTTTCTCAGAAAACAGTGCTTAATAATAATCATGATTTTCTATATCCATGAATTTATTTTCCCTCCCCCTTATTAAGAGACCAGTCCACCCACCATTACAACCTAAACGCGCAACCCCCACAGTCATACCTCTATACGAACGGAAAACTATAGCCCATCTACGCCTACACTCCCTCTTATACACTTGTTTTATAAATGTCCTGCTAAAGCCCTTGTTCTTTCCTCCCCCCCCCCCCTTTCCCCACCTCCTCATCGCCCACGATATATAGATATAATCTGCCACTAAATACATGAACGGTCCTCCTCACACTATCTCCCAACTCCCTCTATTTTCCAAACTCAGTGCCCTTATACCATAACCAAACTCCCACCCACCATATCCAACACGGGGCGAAACCATAGACTTTGCCCTCTCGATATGCCCCACACAAATACACCACATGATATGCTGTTTTCTCCCCCCCACACAAAACACAACATTGAGATTGCAAAATTCCCATCTGATACAGTGGTACTTTAGTTGGCAAAATCCCATGTAAAAACCTATACATAGTTTCCCTCACCCTTGACTTCACCCGTAACTTACTGAAGTCTCCCCAGATTCGTGTCCAATTATATAATGGAAAAACAGACACCTTACCAACCTCCCCAAAACACACGCCGTTACATTTTCCGGATTTCTTACTTGTAACAAGTATCTCAACATACTCATACACTCCTCTAAGTCCCTACCCCCCCACCACCGCCTCACATCTTCCATCACATCCCTCACTCTGACACCACGTTCCCCACCCTATCTCAGATAACAATGCTTCACGTACATGCTCTTCAGTCTGCTATCCAAAGGAATTAAACCTAAACCCCCCTTTGCCAGCGGTGTCATTACAAACCGTTTCCCCAGCAATAACAACCATATCCCCATATAAAAATTCAGAACTTTCCTTTGAAACTTGCCGCACGTCTTTCGCCACCAAGGAATACCCCAAAAGCCACGTGCCACAATTTAGGATAAATGAGTGTATTAACTACAATGACTCTTGTTGTATAGTCAAACACTCGTTCTTATTCCCCACAACCTAAGCAATACTCTTTGCACTACCCTTTTAGAATTTGCCTCTCTACCCCCTGCGCTCCCCCTCTGTACAATACTCCACAAATTTTTATCTGCTCTACTACCTGCCATCCATACTTTTTTCCCAGTTCCCCTCCCACCCATGACCCCACCTCCAGTAATTCGACTTTTCACTATTAACACTCATCCCTGTTGCCCCCACAAATATTTCAACAATTCTACTTACGTTCTTTAACCCCTCCTCTCCCCCACTAAGACCGTCGTGCCCACCCAACATAACCAACTATACCGTAGCACCCCTAAGTCTTACCCCCCCCTCACTTACTCCTACATTTATCAACCTATATAAGGGTCATGCATACATGCAAATAGGATCTGAGACATGGGGCATCCTGCCTCAGCACCCTACTCATACAAACCATTTTCCCCCCACCCTTCCATTTATTTGCACTCGTATTTCTGCACCTCTATATAAAGTTTCCGCCACTGCAAAATTTCCTCACCGAAACCCAATCCTCCTATAATCATCCATATGTCTCTCTCTCTACACAATCATAAGCCGCCTTCCAATCCAAAGCAAGAAACACCTCCCCCAAATCCATCCTACGCCCCTTTATAAAACCCTTTTTATCCTCCCATGCCACTAAACATTGTTCTCCCTGGCACACCCCATCTGCCCCCCAAACTATAACCCTTTCCCCAATTACTTTAAACGCAATCTTTTAAACCAACACCCTGGCAAACAATTTTATATAATCCCCACACATTAATGAAAAAACCTCTATAATCCAGGGATGCAAATTCTGTACTTCCCCCTTTGGAACCATAACTACTCACCTGTCCTTTGTGTTAGCTCATGTTTCCCCTTATCCTTCATTACATTCATCAACGCACCAAAAATTTCCCTTCATGACATCCCAGTTGCTCCAAATAAAATTCATTTGGATTCCATCTATCCCAGGTGCTTTCCCGATCCCTCATCCCTTTTAAAGCCGTCCACACTTCCTTAAATCATATAGGCCCTTCTATATCGCTCTATCTGCTGACTCTAGGTTTCTCTGTATCCCCTTCTCTAAAATCTTCATATCTGCTATTTCCTGTTTCCCCCTCTCATATATATCTCAAACCACTTATCAGCAAACCACTCATACTTTTCGTAGTCTAACCTCTGTCCCCTCGTTATACCCTCCCACATCCGTATGTACGTCAACTTCATCATAGTCATTGTCTTCGTCGCGTCTTTTTAAACGCCACAATACACAGGGGATGGCTTATCTCCCCATAAAACATCTTTCCCAAACCACCTCTCATTCTCTCACCATCAAATCTTGCATTCTGCATTTCCATTAATTGTGCTTTGATGCCCTCAATCTCTTGTATGGATAAACCCACTAAAACCTTTATAGGGACTGTTTCAGCTGCCCTTCCAAATATCCTCTAAGCCATATTCCATTGACTTACCTCCTTTCCTTTCCTTTCCTCATATAAAAATTTTTATTCCTGGTTTGGCAATATTTCCTCCACCATCGTAGTATATCACCTCCTTTTTTTCCCCTTGGTCCCCTCATTTGCCACCACTCAACAAACTATCACCGTCCCCCAGCTCATCTAACAATCTCACATTAAATTTCCAATAACTCATGTAACACTTTTGGGAAAACCCCCCATCCCACATCCACGACCACTCCTCTATGATCTGAAACACTACATTTATAGTTTCTGTATTAGCCACCTGTAACCCGAGAAGCATAAATACGATCTAGGGCGTGCCGCATATCCTCTCCTCAAAATAAGTATGCTCCACGTTCCACCCCTCCCCCCTCACTACATTCCGCGAAGCCTGCTCCCCCTAAAACATCTCGTAGGACCCCAAAACACACCCTGCATCCCTGGCTCCACATCTTTCTACGTATCACACTATTTCCCAAACCCCTCCAAATAATGAATAAACAGGTAAACCCCGCATATGATAAATTTAGTGTGTCCCTTACAAATTCCTCTTTAACACGTCTATTACTGTCCGCCGGCATGTATACACTCACAAACACACACGTACCCCACCCCATTTTCCCATCCCCCCTCCTACTCTCCCATCTCCCCCTTCTTCCCAAAAGTAACAATTGGAAAGGACTGGTCTCAGCTATTAAAACAGCAGCACCTCCCTTAAGCTTCCCCGTATACCCAGCATAAATTTAAAATCCATCTACCAACAAATCCCTTCCATACCCAAAATATGCTCTTGTAAAAATATTACTTTTATGCCCAAATCTCTTTTAAAAATCATAAATATCTTACGCTTTACAGCAGCCCTTAGGCCGTTAACATTTAAGGTTTGACACTTAAAAATGCTATCGGGGGCTTACCAATCGACCGATATCCTTGCGTTTCCCTTTCGTTTTTGCTGAACATTCTTTTCACATTGTCCTTTCTTTGCCTCACCTTTCCTCTGCCCCTCTCCCCCCCCGTTACTTTTTTTTGCACATCCACTGATAGTTTCTTACCAGTTCGTTGCGCTGGTGTGAGGGGCATCATCACTATCAGAAGCCCCCGCTCTCTCTTACGTGATGCCTCTACTATGTGCATTCCCTCATCTTTACATTCTACGTTGTGTCTTCAACCCCACCTCACTAATCCTGTTTGATGCATATCCCATCACCCACATTACTCACCTCTTGAATTCCTCACCTATAAGTTTCCCATCTGACACCATGCTTAGTGTCCCGTTCTCATTCTGATTACCTAAAATTCTTGAATAAATGTCTATTGTAGCCGTAACCTGACTACCCAAATTTCCCCTCGTCTCACCTCATCCTCCATACGCATATTCTCAATAACCTGAGAGACCTCCGGCAATGTTACACATTCTTCCGGATTGTCCTCCACGATTTTACTCCATGTTCTATGATCTTGAAGATGCTCCCCTGTAGACTGGGTCGTCACCACTCTCTCCTTCCACACACCTTTCCCCTCTCCATATTTCAGGTGTCGATCGACGAGGACACATTGCTGCCATATGATCAAAGGCTCCAACAGTCTACAGGTTCGTCTCTGCCCGCATAATTTTTACATATACCTGTATTCTAAAGTCACTCAGAGTCACATATGATGGTATAGATTTGCGCAAAGACATTTTGAGGGTAAAGGATCCCTCACGCAGTCCAGCATACATATCATCAGACCACCTTCCAACTGATGCCTGATGTATAACACCATACTCGTTGAATGTTGCTTTTATATCTTCTTCATCCGCTTCAAATGGGACATTCCGTAACTTCACCCAAGTATAATACTTGGATACGTCCCTCATTCGTGCTTCCAAACCAGGATTAAAACCCTTTATACACACGTCTTGGTTTTTCCACCCTCTTGTCATATGTCGTAGCAGTCACAAATTTCACAAAGATCCTTGTTGCTCCATTCAAGGCAATACCATACAGATCGTCTTTGTTGATGCAGTAGGTATCCCGTAGTATGGCAGGCAGCATAACAGAAGCATTGGTTTGATAAACCGCTCCTTTCAACACCTCAATACACACAGTGTTGATTCTCCGCCTGATAGCCTGCGCCATTTTGTGAAAATCACTCAGTGCTACCAACAGGTGCTAGCTCAACCGCCAACGTCCGTCCTCCACCAAGGCTGAGTGACGAATGCAGGAGCAAGGCGCAGCACAACCTCACGGCCCTAGAGCGATGAGGTCAATGGACCATGAGAACTGCACGGTCCGCGCAGGTGCTCGCCCAGGTGTGCACATGTACATTACACATCGTACCTACAATTAGATTTAGCTCAACATTTTCAATAATGCCATACGTAGAAACATTCTACCCAATTTGCATAATAAAGAGCAGTTTGAATCAAAGAACATTCCACAATTATCATAAATTTACCCTAACCTAAGCCTAGTATTCCATCTGTATTATAAATATCTAAATCAACACGAAATTTTACCACATACCCCTAACCATATTTGTTGGTGTACATGATACAACCTTGTATTATCATAAAGAAAAAAAGAACAAAAAAGGAAAACCCACTCTTCACCTTTAAAAATCAGACTTCAATTTACCATTCATGTACATACATGTAAATAATTATATAAAGTATATTGTCAAATTGAACACAATCACTTCCAACGTCAGTTATAATATTACGTCAACTCAACCACGAATAACTTCATCCATTCTTACAACTTCAAGGGTTCGTAAAATTCTTAAACTACATACATAGTATTGCCACCATCTAGACAATTAAAAAGAAAAACAATACTCAAATATATCAAAACACATTATGCTTCTATTTGCACCAAATCAATTGTGCCTACAAAAATACAATTGTAAATTAAACTGAAACATAAAAAGCCATTTTGACATTTACACATTGTATCAAAATCAAATACGCATAGAAAATATGTATTGAATACCATTGAAAATTGAAAATGTTCATGAGAAAAACCATTAATGTTATATACAAGAAAGTAAACATACATACAACATACATATGTATATATATATATATATATATATATTATATATAATATATATATATATATATATATATATATATATATATATATACATACACATGCATATATATACACATATACACACACACACATATACATACATATACACATACATACACATGCATATATATACACATTTACACACACACACATATACATACACAGTTATAAGTCGACAATTCCAAATATAACTGTATTGTACTTGAAACACTCAGAACAAATAATGTTAAAATTGCACCCCAGACATACCTCATATAACATTCATCAAACAAACTCATCACGCTACCGCCCATTCTAGGAAACCAGCCCATTTCATCCCCCTTACCTGCCTTTCAACTCCCGTAAATCCCGTAATGTGAAATTCCTATAACCCTCACTTAAATCCCTCTCCCATCTCCCCCATACACCTCCTTATTCCTACACTTTGTCCTATAAAAAGTTGCTGTTAATGCATTAATTCTTTCACACACGTTCGCTCCTCTCATAGCCCAAGACATATAAATATAATCCGAATTATATACCCTACCGCATTCTCTACCATTTGATTCACCCCACCTATGTCTAAGCTTAAAACCCTCAACACCTGCAAACCTCCCCCCCTCCCACTAACCTTATTACCTTACCCAACCAAACCCTTATTAGTCATTGTTCGCATCGCTATTGGGCCGTGCGGACAGGCTGCGCAGTAGCTCCCGAATCATCTGGCTTGCTGCGCAGTTTTCCTATTCGTCGCTCAACTCTTGAGTAGAGAGGACGTACTTGGAACTGCGCTCTGACCCCTGGTGGCAGGTGACAGTTTTTTTTTCATCATGGCGGAGAGTGGCCGCAGACGCGTGAACACTATCTGTTTAGAATTAGTGAGGGGCGTGCTTACTGCCCAGAATACCAACATGTTGCTGACGGCGATATTGCGGGATACGTACGGTATCGCTAATGAAGACCTTTATGGAGTCTCACTGAATGGTGTGGCACGCATTTTCGTCAAGTTCCGACTGAGCAGTACATATGACAACATGGTGGCCAAGTATCAGGACGTGGTTAAGACGGTTACCCCTGGCGTTAGTGTCCGTCTTCATCACGTTTCAAGATTCTACACCTGGGTTAAGGTGCGTAATGTACCTTTCGAGGCGGATGAAAGTGATTTACGGCAGGTGTTTGGACGATATGGGACGATCCACATGGCGACATTGGGACGTTGGCGAGATGGGCCACTAGTTGGCTTCCCTGAAGGGACGTTTTCCCTGAAAATGTCCCTAAGGCATCCTATTCCATCTTATGTGGGAATGGAAGACTTCCGGACTCAGGTGTACGTAACATACTCAGGTCAGAGGCGTACGTGTCGTGTGTGTGGGGCGTACGACCACATAGCGCCGACTTGTCCAACGAGACGTGGGAAACCTGAAGCTGAGGCGGGATCTGATGGTACTACGGATCAAATGACGTATGCAACGGCAACGCAACGTAAGCCTTTGTCACGGGAGGCGTGGAGTGTGGAGGTGGAGAGGGAGGAGGCGTCGTCGCCTGAGTGTATGACACTCACTGGACTCGATGAGGACGTAGGCTTGGTGTCGGCGAAGAGTGGTGAGGAGTCTGCAATTGCACACCATGTTTTGGAAGCTACAATTCAGGAGGCCCTGGACGGCTTACTGGATGTTTCGGTCAACGCTGGCTTGGATGATGTGAATGTAGAGGCTGAGGTGGGTGGCCTCAATGAGAAGGTTGTGAGTGATGAGGGGCGGGTCCAGAGTGTGGCAGTGGAGGTCCACAGGGAAGATGCCCAGGAGGAGGCGAAGCGTGAGAAGCGTGGCTCTCGCAAGAGGACGGCTGTCATTAATGATAGTGAGGATGTTTTGACGCCTGGGCAAAGGACGGGGAAGAAAACGTGGCATGGTTCAATGCCTAGAGAGAAAGGTGGTTTAAAGAATGTAGAGAGTGAGCAAGGTGAAGGTGATGGGAAGTGTGGGGGGCGGGGTGGAGTTTCTCGCCAGGGTTCTAAGTGTGTTAGGGTGTCTAAGGGAAAGCCCTCATTACGGCCTTCAGGTGTCTTACTCTAAATGTTAATGGGTTGAAGGCAGTGGGCAAATGTAAAGTTCTGGAGGGTTATTTGAGGAGATATGTGCCAGACCTTGTGTTCTTGCAGGAGCATAATTATAAATATTTAGGTGAATTGTCAATTACCGGATATGACGTGTACATGGGTTGCTCTACACGACTGAAAGGTGGTGTGGCGCTATTAATTAAGGAAGCCAGCCCGTTTCTTTTGCATAGGTGTGAGGTAGGGGAGGAGGGGCGGGTGGTTAGGGTCGAGGGTATGTGGGGAGGGGTTCGGGTGGGTTTCATTGGGGTGTATGGGCCAGCGGAAGGGGATGTGGGTGTTAAAAATAGATTCTTTAGGGATGTCCTTGTCTACCATTTCAGATCGCTGCCAGGTATTACAATTACAGGGGGTGATTGGAACTGTGTTGTCCGACGTAAGGATGTAGAGCCTAGGGGGAGTTTTTTTTTTCGGGGTTTTTAGGGGATCTGTTGAGAGGAGTGAATGTAGTGGATGTTGGAGGGGAGGTGAGCGGAGTGACGCATACGTTTATTAAGCATGATTATGCGGCGAGGCTTGATCGTATTTATGTATCGCGGGGGATGAGGGTGAGCAGTGTGTGCGCGTTGAATGTAAGCTTCTCTGATCATCGTGGGGTACTGGTGGATTTAAATTGGGAGGGTTTGCCGAAGCGTTTCAGAGGTTTCTGGAAGATGAATGTTGGGTTATTGAAAACAGGGGAGGGGAGGGAATCTTTTGCGAGCGCTTGGAAAAGGTGGTGGGCTGATGGAGGGGGGGGGGTTGATGTCATTGGGTGGTGGAACTCGGTCGGTAAGGGAAAGGTGAGGGATTTTTATCAGGGGAAAGGAAGAGAGGCAGTTTCAATATGGGATTTTAAATTACCTTGAGGGTCAACTACAAGAATGCTATATGGGAGGGGGGGTGCATATCCGATGGGTGAGATTGAGGGTTTGAAACAACGGATTAGGGATATTCAAAATCGCAATTTTGATGCTGCAAGGGTTGCAGGGGGCCTTGATGAGGTCTTATGGGGGGACCGTCCGTCGGCGTATGTCTTGCGGGAGCAGGGGACACGTCCTAGGGCAACAGAGGTGATGAGTTTGCGGGTACAGGAACAATTGGCGGGATATCGTCAGGGGCAGAGGGTATGGGTTATGTGGATGCGTGGTACAAGAAGAATGGTAAAAGTGTGGGGGTTAATTGTGAGGCGTTAGGCACAATGGGCGAATGGGTAAACTGTAATCTAGTGCATAAGGATCGATTGAGTTTGGGTGGGCCTATACGTGAGGAGGAGATTAGGGTAGCAGTGGAGGGGATGAGCATGGGTAAATCGCCTGGTATTGATGGCATCCCTTGTGATTTTTATAGGGAAAACTGGGAGTGTTTGCGTGAGTTTTTAGTAGAGTTATTTAATGCCATGAAAACCAGGGGTAGGTTCGGGGAACAGCAGAGAACGGGTGTAGTGGTCATGGTCCCTAAAAAAAAGTCTTGTGAATGTGTGCATGACTACCGTTCAATCACCTTAATGTGTGGTGATTACAAGATCTTTGCTAAAGTGTTGGGAAATAGGTTGAAAGGTGTTCTTGCCAGTGTTTTGGACGAGGGTCAATATGGAGTGCCTGGGCGTTCGATGTGTGTGGGGCAGGGGAT